CTCTCCACGCCGGTCTGTATGGAGACAGACCTGCTGGGCCTCCATAGAGACAGGATAGTAGCACACGGTCCATGCCCTCCCCACTATGTGTTTTCTCGTTGAATCCTCCCCACCCTAAACAGCAAGTGGCGAACTACTGTCACCGGCACTTCACACGGGAAACTACTTCAAGGGCTTGTCAGTTTATGATCCCCTCACATGTGCTCTTCAGCCCCAGAGTCATTGCAGAGACACAGCATGAGGTATGTGAATCCTCTATGGCTTCAGTAACGGGAGCCACTGCCCAGCTCTCAATTACTGGGAAGTTCCTTATTGCACCCTTTGCTGGAAAGAGCATAAACTAACAGCTATTAAATCCAAATCCTGGGCCCTCCCTTGTGGCGCAGCGGGTTAAAGCACAGCACTGAGAAGCTAAAGCCACTTCTGCAGGAGTTCGATCCCCTCCTGCCCCGGAGGTGACCACATGGCGTGGCAGACCTCTCCTGACCCGTGACCCGCCGCTGCTCCCCTCAGCAGTGTACTTCGTCAGTCTGCCTGCTCTGCTCCCCACTCTGTCTCTGGTGAATCCTCTCACCCTCCGCGTCTCTGGCCTGTACCCCAGTTCTGTATGAATAAATAAATCTTTAAAAAAAAAAAAATCCGGCTTCTGCAGCTGGCAGCCCTGCAGTGTTGACAGTTGCTTATTGTCCCTCTGCCTTGAGGCCCTACCCTCATAAGTGGGGTTCTGGTCAGCTGCCTACCTGCCTAACAGGTTGTGCTGGGAACCAGATGTCACAGATCTGGATCGTGAAGCATTTTGTAAGCCACACAGTGGTCTGCAGACAGGAGGCTTCTGGGGTCCTGGCCTACTTGTCACTCTCCTTAATAACAGATCACCAGCCATATCCCAGCTCCATCCCCTGGTTCTGAATGCATCGCAGTATTTAATCCTCATTCTACAAGCAACAGTTTTAGAGAGATTGTTGTAAATTTCTTGTTTTTCTGGCTTGTTTAATTACTACTATGGTAACATCATTTTTTTCTTTCTTTTTAAAAAAAATACATATATACTTTTTCAACCTCATTATGGGTTAAATTAAGTTTTATGGGTGGGTCTGGGAACCATATCAAAATTTATAGCTTTATTTTTCTAAAGAAATTGCTTCCAAGCTTCAAACAACCAATTACAAGGGAAGGTTTGGAGCACAACCAGTTTGAGAGTTGGTTGTACTGTACATTGTTCTCTAGTTAGTTTGTGGAGATGATCAACTTCTTCAGGGTAGGCACCACCTCTTGTATGGATCCCCCATAACACCCACTAAATGCCAAATTCAAGAGTATATTCAGCAAATCTGTATTCCTCCAAAGCTAAGCTGCCTTGTCTGCATCCAAGAAATGGTGCCTTGGATGACCCTGGGAAGTGTACAGACGTCCCTCAACATATCCCAGCCAACCTGATGACTCACAGATGAGGCGCAGGGACACAGTGAGTCTTGTCTGGCCCACTTTCTTTTAACACCTAGTATATTCCAGTAGTGTGCTAGATCTTTTTTAAAGATTTATTTATTTATGCATACAGAATTGGGGTACAGGCCAGAGGTGCAGGGATGGTGAGAGGATTCACCAGAGACAGAGTGGGGAGCAGAACAGGTTAACTGACAAAGAACACTGTTGAAGGGAGTAGTGGGTCGACCAGGAGAGGTCTGCTGCGCCACGTGGGTCACCTCCCTGAACTCATGCCAAAGTGGCTTTTAGCTTCTTAGTGCTGTGCCTTAATCAGCTGCCCCACCAGGGAGGGCCTGCTAGATGTTTTATATTTGTTAATGTCTTAAGGCCTCACCAAAAGTGTTGAAGTAATTCTTTTTTTGTCCTCATTTTATATATGAGGAGACCAAAGCTCAGAGAGGTTAAGCAACTTGCCTAAGGTCACAGAGCCAGTGAAAGTACAAAAGTGTGATTTAAACCCAGCAGCCTGGGTACCTCTTGGTCCAAGAAAGACCAGAATTAAAGTCCCCTGCCTTGGCTATTGCTGGCGATCTTCTCAGCTGGAAAGACTGCATGGTAGCACATTGCCGGCATGGTCTCTATGCTTCATGTCATGTGATCTATAACAAAGCTTAGGGTAGCAGGCAAGACAGGCACATTTTTCTAATGCTTACATATACGTTCTACTAAATTCAAACAGTACAGAAAATTATAAAAGAAAATGTCTCTTGAAATTCTTCCATCCAAAGCTAAAAATCTTCACCAACATTGTGGTAAACATTCTGCTGAATCCTTCTCTGATCCCTGTGAGTCTGGAGACACAATTATGTAACCAGGGGAGTGGGTTTTATGAATGTCAGCATGAGATAGATGACACTGTGGCTCAGAAAAGGGGTGATTTCTCCAGTGGAGACCTGGCCAATACCAGTGTTGAAATGTCAATCCTATATGGATTTTTTTTCTGGTTTTGGGGTGACTCTCAAAGCATGTATGTCTTAACACCTCTCACTTGTTCAGACACCTTCCCGGCACCTGCTTCTGGCTCCACAAGCACTGGGTCTACACCCCTGGTGCCCCATTGTTTTCCTGGGAGAAGAGATTCAGGGCACTTGGCATGTGGGAATATTTATACAGCTCTCAATTAAGCTCAATAAAAGTGGCAGCAAGCTCCTGCATATACTAAGTGGTGGTGGTGGTGGCCGAAGCTCCTCTTCCAGATTGCCCAGCGATTCCATAATGACTCTGCTCAGGGGTGACGTGTCCAGTGCCACCTTGGCATTTCCCCACCAAGCAGCATTTAAAGTTATTTTGAAGAATATCAGTGGAAATGGAATCTGATATTGGGGAGGGAGGGTCATGCAATCCTCACCTGAACCAACCTTCCTTCCTACTTACACTTTGGTCTTAGGGGTGGTATCCAGTTTTGCTAGAAATGAAATCATATATTCAACTCTCAAACTGTGTTAGTGCAAATGAACTCTAATGTGATTAGATATTAATGTAGTGTAATGGAGGATTGGTATTAAATCGAGGCCTCCTGATCTTATTACTCCACAAATGCTCCCTCCTGCTCAGGCTGCTGCCCTGCCAGCCCTGCGTCCCCAACAAGAAATGAGTAGTGATAGAGCTCAAGAAGCCCTGAGCCCCGCTACTGTAGCCCTGAGCCCCTGTGAAAGCCTAGTGTAAGGTGGGAAAAACAGGAGGAGATAGGAAAAGGAGCGTGAAGAGAGAGCACAGACATGAGGGTTCACACCCGGTTCTGCCCAGGCCTCTTGACAGCGAGACCTCACTTCCTTACTGCATTGAGCTGCCAAGACTCCCTTTGGAGAGAGGAGGGCTTGGACGCACCACTGGGGGTGGAAAGGGAGTTGTAATCCTGGGCTTGCCTGCATGCTCAGAGGCCTGCGAGCTGGCAAGTGTCAAGGTTTGCCTTACATCCAGACAACTTTCTTGCTCGGCGTAAACCTAGCAAGCTCAGACGGTAAAGTCTTCGCTGTATCTCCTCCATCCCAGTCATTTCTGTAAGACTGATTTGACCATAACAGATAGTGGTCACTTGCCCTGGTTCTCTTTGCCTCCCTAGAGGGCTGGACTGAGATGCAGGTGCTGTAAGACCGTGGTATGTGTGTGTGGCTTTCATTTAGCGTGGGTGGGACTGACGCCCCTCACAGGGTAGCCCCTGGCTTCCCTCACCTGCTGCAGGAAGGATACATCTTTGCTCAGTTACACTGCTTGTTTCAAGGTGATAACTGGACCTGTGGGAGCCAAGTCAAGTGGGGGAACCTAAGGGGGTCTCTCTGGGCCCACAGGCTGCATCAGCAGATGCCTCAGTTGCTACCCGAGGCTGGGAAGACATCAGTCCCCTATCGAGAAGGGGCGCCCCAGTGCTGGGAATGGTCAGACGGCATCACCTTCATGTATAAATAATAACATTTTTACAAAGAGTGATTTTTCTTATGCTGTTTCCAGAAAACTGCTTTCAGAGGCACAGACTTTGCACACAGGATGGTAACGACTTTTTAATGACCTTAAGGGGCCTGGTGTCCAGGCAGCAGTGAATCAATCTCAGTGGGAGGTTCACGGTGAGAGAGAAGATGGAACACCTGAAACCAAAGGGGGGAAACAAACCACAAATACATACATTTTCTTTGGTAGCATTACTTGGTAATTAGACAATTACAGGAAACAGCTTCCCAGCAGCTGGCATTTCCACTGTGTGAGCGGAGGAGGATGGCAACAACTATGAACTCCTCACATTTATTATAGAAAATATTATTGGAGTTTACAGTCGTGGGTGCCTTGCACGCCTCCAGTGCATTCTGATGAGCTTTGAGCGTTAAACCAAACCCTCTCGGGGTCTCTTTAGCGCTTGCTCAGCTAGGTTTTAAATGAGTTGACCCAGCCTCTGATGATCAGTGAGAAATTGCCCTCAAAATACTTGAGCACCTTTTGAGCCCAACCTGAGGCTAAACAGGGTGGAGGTTGGGAGTGCATTTGTGAGCAAGAAAGGGAGGGGTAGGGCCTGTGAAGGAAGGCCTCTTCTCCCCCAGCTGCCATCAGCGCGTGGAAAGTTCGGTCAGAAGAGCCTGGTGGAGTGGAGGTGGGGGTCTTGCTTTGAAACTCCTCCACCCAGGCCCCATCACGGAAGTGTTGCCGTGTGCACGCAGGAGTGTCACTAGGCCAGCGGCCCTCCAGGCGGGGCCTGCTGTGGCCCATCTTACATATGACGAAGTGGATTCTGGGGACCAACCACCTCAGCCATTTTTCTCTCTGGTTGCACTCGAGGCACAGTGTGAACTCGCCACAGTGTCTGGTAGAGCTTTCTCTCCCCCGTCGCCTTCACGGAGGGGTGGGATGCCCCCTGGACGAGACTGTAGACTAGATCTGCAGCCCCTCAGCCACAGGTTAGGTGGAGCCAGGCCCCTGCGCCCGCAACCCTCACAGCACCAGCCTCCCAAGGAGAAGATGGGAGGGCGCACCCTCAGTGCTCAGCTGTCCGCAGGGCTAACTGCCTGTGCTTGTGCTTCCTCTCACAGGTCCTGGCAATCAGTAACTTTTGAAAGACAGCCTGCCTCCTTCATCCGAATCGTTGGAACACACAACACTGCAAATGAGGTAAGGGTCTCCTTTCGCGAAAGACGCCGTGATATTTCATGATGTACAGGTAAATGCTACATCCGGAGTTAAGTGGAACTGTTTGTTCTACCCGCTAATGGCCTGTTGTTCTGACAGCTTGGTACAGAGGAGAGTCCTGCTCTTGCACAGTGGGGATATCATTATCTTTTCTGGATGTCTCTTCACTAGCAAATGAAAACCAACCCCTATGGCTTTGTTGATTCTGACCAGCCTCTCTGTGGAATCGGCAAGCACAGAGACCTTGAGAGGCCAAATGCCCTGTCCTCAGAGTCCCCTGCCTTTCCAGACAACAGCCATTTCAGAGGTCCCTTAGTCCCCTGAGTGTGGCTTTTAGGGAGCCCCCACCCACACAGGCAGCAGCACACAGCCCTGTCACAAACAGGAACGTGAGCGTGGAGGAGCAGCCAGCAGTCCTCCTCCTTGCAGGCCTCTCCCTCCCCGGTGTCGGCCTGGCTGCCAGCAGGCAGTCGTTCCACTGAGCCATGCTGGCTATAGCTGCATCTTGGCTTTTAAGGAGGGCAGAGTGGTGAGTCGTTTACCCCCAACTTTGGCAGTGCCATTCAGGTGAGGTGTCTGGGCCTCAAATGTTGCCATTCTCTCTCTCTGGAATGGACCTGGCTCCAGTGAAACGCATGAGCTGCCAACCAGGACTGTGCCAGGCACACCTGGACGTGACGTGCCCTCATGGTTTGGCTTCCCAGAGGGCTCCTGGAGGCACCTTGGGATTCACTCAAGTGGGCACTGAGGAAGCACGAGTGCTGAGACCTTCCTGCTGTGGCTTCTGCCCTCTTGCTTTAGTAGTCTTGTGTATTCAGTGCATGCCTCCTGGTGGAGCTGGTCAAAGATGGGAGTCAGAAAGGACAGTGAGGCTGAGACTCAAGAGGAAAATGAAGGCATGGAAGTAGAAACAGCACTGCAAGTTCACTTTCAGAGAGTCTTTCCAGGTCTCCACCATACGCCTTCCTGGATGTGCAGTCAGCGTCACTGCAGGGGGTTCCACACCCAGAAGGGGGCTTTGCACTTAGTTAAGGCTTTGGCACCTGCCCAGTCTACCCCAGCCCTCCATGACACTGCCGCTCCACCCTGTGGGTGGTCTGGGCTGGCAGGAATCCCCCCACCTGACTCTGGGCGCATGCATGGGTCTGCACTGGCCTGAAGTGTCCCTGTGCCCAGGGAGCACAGCACTAAATCAGGTAGGAAGCCCAGGAGGAGTCCAGAGAGGCTGAGGGAAAAAGAAAAAGGCTGTTTTTCTTGCTGCTATGAGGCAGAGGCTCTCATCTCATTTGCATCGAGACCTGCATCTTCCGGAACTGGCCTGGATTCATTGTATTCGTCTAGTCAGAATTCTCCAGAGCACATCAAGGTGTTTCCGATACTTCACGAAGCACTTTAAAATGTGAAAATATTGTGATAATGTAGATTCAGTTCTTCTTTTTATTTGTATTTATAATAAAAATAATACACACCTACAATATGTATCTTGCAGAGCTTACAGATACCCAAAATTTCTCTTACATCTTCATTTCAAAACAAAGCTGAAAATTAAAATGTAAATCAATCAATATTTTTAAAAGCACAAAATTAAAGAATTGTGAACATCAGGCCATAAAAGCACTTTTCTTTTTTTCCTGATGTAACAAAAGTAAATTTGAATCTGTATTGAATATATATGACCATCAAAGCAAGCATCATATTTTTAAAACTTGCCAGTAAATCCCAATTATCTTACCACTTAAACTAAGTTAAATTGTTTTTCTTACTAAATTGGAAAACAATTTAAATCTATCTTTACATAATAATATATTGTGCTAAAATTAAATGTTTTTCATTTGAAGTCATTTGCTCCAAAAAGGACATTTTTTTATTTAATGGTCTCTGCAATCTTGCATTACAATAGAGGGATTCTTCAGTTAGAAAAGGCTAAAAACCTCTGAAGTGAGTGTGACTAGGGTCTGCTTCTACCCCTTAGCCCCAAATCATCACTTCAGTGACCAGGTAAAGAATGATTCCCCATCTCCGAGCTCTAAAGACAGATCTTCCCTCCCTGATGAGCGTCCCAAGATCATCCATGCAAGGAGGCCCGGCCATGGTGGGCCCACCATTGTGAATGGGCTGACTAGTAGGTCACTAATTAACTTGTGACCTGCCACATTTGGCTGAAAAGCAACTTGCTCAGCTGCCTTATTGAAGCAGTTATTGATCAGGAAAAAAAAAGCTGAATGTATTGTGGCCAATTGGGAAACATCTTAAATCATCAAATAAATAACGATCAGGATCATAAGGCAAGAATCATCAGCTGGATCATTCTCGGAGCACAAAAGGGTTGAACTTGACCAGGAACCAGGCTCTCCTAGGGAACACCCTTGATGGCACGCTGTGTCTTGTAGGGCACTGTAAGGAGTGGTATCCCATGGGGAATGTGTGTCCTGAGGGACAGAGGTGTAAGCAGGATGGAGGGGAAATGAGGTTGGTGGGCCTGGACTCCAGGGAGGCAGCTCTTGAGAGCTGTGGAAATATATCAGGTTGGGTGCAGAAACCAATAGGTGTGTTAGTGCTAGAACAGCCCTGGTGGCAGGGGAACCAGAAACTGCCATCAGAATTCAAGATAAGGGTGCCCCACTCTCATGGGGCAGTGTGGAGGAGAGAAGGGTTTCCTGGCTCTCTCACAGCTTGTTTGCCAGGAGATCAGCAGCCTTTGTTCAGTCAGAGTCAGGACCTGTTTCTTTTTAAATGCTAAATGTTTGCAAACCAAAAATAGTATGGTAATTTCCAGAAGCATGGATGGAATTGATTTTTAACATGGAAAGGTAACATTGTATGCTAACAGGAGAAGGGTTGAATAAATTCTTAGCCACAACTCCAGGTACACCAAGGTGCACCCCTCGAGTGGGGAGAGCAGGGTGTGGTGGGGGAGGTGGGGAGCACAGCCTGCAGGAGGTGCTTCTGTGCAGGGGCAGAGGAAATGGTGGTCAGGCTGTGCAGACCTAAGGTGAGCGCAGCCAGCACGGTGTGTCAGTGCAGGCAGCTCTAAGTCGGTGACCAGGGGAACTGCCCCAGCCTCCGGACTTCGGGCCACCGTCAAAATAGCAGAGGCCTCCTGAGCGAAAACAAATGGGATTTCTGGCCGGACGAAGGTCTGTGTCTGTCTCGCTGCAGCCAGCCAGGCCTTCCCGCACGCAGGACTTAGCATCTGTGCTTGCTGCACGTTCATTCTTCCCACTTCGCTCTGATGTGGGCAGCTCTCGGGTGACAGCAGCCAGGAGGTTCAGATTTCTTGATCACCTGTTTTGGCACGCCTCTGATTTCCTGCGGCGTTTCATCCCTCTCCTCTGGGGAGAGCATGTCTGCTGCTGGCATCTGCCTCTCATCTTGCTTTGTGAGCACTGCAGCAATGAATTCGTTTAATTTTTTTAGCTACGTTTTGACTTCTGTCAATAAATCCCCCTGATACTTACCTCTCAAAGACACCGGCACTTCTCCCATGACCTCCCGCTCCTGTGTATTCAGCGTCATCCTCGTCATTTATCTTAGCGTCCTAGAACATTTTCCTTGTATCTGCCCCCAGCGTGTGTTTTGTCGTCCTCTGCTCTCCTCTCCGCTCTGTCATCTCCCCCATGCTTGGCATGGTTCCCTCGCGACTTGTGTTTCTGTCCTTTGCCCTTGGACACCTTTTTTCAGATTCCCTGCCCACTCTCAAGGTTTCCTTTGTCTTCCTCTCCTGCTTAGCACTAGATGGCAGACGTATGTCAGTTTGTCTTTCAGCACGCCCACCTTCCCGCCCCGTGTCCTGTTCTCCTTCAGTTGTTTCACTCATGTGATGGCTCCCGGTGCCTCTAGTCACAAAGGTCCTCCTTGGCTGTTTCCTCAGCCACTTTATGGTAGTCTTGGTCACCAACTTGGCAATCGTGTGGTCATGCCGGTGTGGCTGCCCACCTCCTCACTGGCTCACTGGCTGTGCGCTGCTCAGGAGGCAGACACTGCTTCCCATCCTAAGTCTCTGTTGTCTGAAAAAGGTTAGAAACCGGGCCTTGTGAAGAACACTTAAATGTCAGGGCAGATGTGAAGTCTCACCTTCAGTGACTATTGCAGCGCCTTGCTGGTTCTGACACAGCACCCGGCTTGCCTCCTACCCCTGTTTTTATTCAGTTCTGACTGCTGCAGAGCCAAAAAGGCGCACGCCACCTCCCAAGACGTCAGGTGGGGTTCTGATGACATCTGTCTGGACCTATGAAAATCCGGCAGTGGCATTAAAGAAGTCACACCCTTTTCTTTTTAGGGCTTTCATGAAACCTGGGTATGAATGCAAGTTCTGAAGTGATTTTTCAGTAGGCACAGAGCTTGAGCACAAGCAGCCCCGGGTTAACAAGGAATGTAGGAAAAACGATCTCTCAATGATCAAGAAAGACGGAGTTCCTGCCCAGAAGAACCCACATGAAAGCCTTTGCCAAGTCAATAACAGAAACTGAGGACGGTATTGACAGGCTGGAGACAGCTCTCAGGGTTCCATTTTACTTATTGAATTTGTGTAGCTGAGGAGAGAGGCTGTGTCGTATTTATCCTTGTATCTGCGGCACCTAGCACGGGCTGCGCGTGTACGCTTAAAGTGCCGTTAGCTGAATGACTGGACGAATCAGTCCGTCAGCTCACCCATCTCTCCCTCTCCCCATTAGTCAGGGAAGTAAAGGGAAAAGTTTGCAGAACAACTTCATATCAACAGACCATCTCATTCCGAGGTAGAGTTTCTGTAGTCACACCAAGGAGTTTCTCAGACTGCAACCTTATAAAGGGAAAAGTGTATGTGCCAAGTACTTAAGCGTCTTCTAGTTTAGGACTCTTGTTGAATAATAGCTTTTAGTTTTATATACCCTTACTCATCATAAATTACAGTAGCAGGGAGTATTTGCTGAGCACATACTACATGTCAGGCCCTGTCCAGATTCTTTATATTTATTACAGTATTTAATTCTCATGTACTAAGT